TCTTCTCACATGTTACGGGACTTTTGTGTAGAAAAGCCTCCATATTGGAAAATGTGGAATATGCATTTTATGGTGGAATTTGACAAGGGAATTTTTAAATTTTGAGAATCTTTCCTGTTTTTTTTTTTTTTTTTTTTGCCTTGAAGTTTCCATTTTCATGAACAAATGTAAATAAATGTCCTTTCTTATGATCATCAAATTCTCTCTTGAGTAGCCCTCAAGTGACTATCTCATTTTCCCAATCAAGTGAGCTCTACAGAAGGGTCGTGGTGGTCTGCACACCAGCTGCCACAGTAAGTCCCATGGCTTTTCTGTAGAGGTCTCTCCCCTCCTCCCCATCCGCTCTGCCCTCATACCTGCAGGAGATGCTCATATGTATGTTACACTCTAGTTCTTTATTCTTTCTGTCTTTTTTTTTTTTTTTTTTTTTTTTGGTACCGGGGATCGAACTCACAACCTTGCACTTGCCAGGCAGGCGCTGTGCCACTGAGCTAAATCCCCAGCCCCTTTTTTCTGTCTTTTTGACACAGGGTCTCACTCTGCAGTTTGGGCTGGCCTTGAGCTCACTTTGTAGCCCATGGTGGTCTCGAACTTACAACCATCCTCCTGCCTCAGCCTCCCGAGTGCTGGGATTATAGGTGTGCGCCACCACACCTGGCTACATGACAGTTTTCATGAGGTTATCTAATTTGATCCTTAAATGAGCTCTTTTTTCACAAACAGGGGCTTGATGTTCAGGGAAGTTAAAAGGGATGTGGGGCCTCAGACCTCTGTCCAGATTTTCCAAGTTCCCTCCTTGCCGCATGCCCCAACCCAGTCAGACTACTCCATTGCCGTGTCCTATGCTGCAGGACACCTTCTTCTGGGCCCGGCACACTACTGGGCAGGCAGGACGCACATGGTGAGCCGCGCTGGTCTACTCAGCCTCTCTCTCCTGAGCACCCAGAGCAGCGCGGATGGCTCCAAAACACAGAACACCTACAGAATTGAAGGGAATCTTCTGTTTATTTCCCCCCACTGTATTCATCACCTACTTCCTTCTGATCTCCTTTAGAGGTGGTGATAATAATGGTAATAATAATAAGAAGAAGAGTAAAACTCATAATGTGATTACTACTCCTTAGTGAGGACCTATATTTAATTTTGCTAATTAATATAATGTATCACTTACCCACATCCTCCCAGCAAAATGGTCTTTAATTACCCCATTATACGCAAAGAAGCCACACTTAAAAAGACAAGACAGCTCGCCCAAGAGCCCAGCGTCCCAGCGTCCCAGCGCCTGAGTGTGCTCAGGCCCCACTGTCCCCAAACCTGTATCCTGGGTTACACTAGAAGCCTCCGTGCTACACAGGGGCAGCGGCGCTGCTGCAGCTGTGTTTCTTCACAGCCGCGTCTGCACTTGTTAAGCACCTGCTCCTGCCTGGAAGTGTACTAGATGCGACAGAAAAAAATGGAGTAAATTTAGACGTTTAAAATTTTAGGAAGTGTGGCCAGGGATACAGCTCAGTGGCACAGCGCCTGCCTGGCAAGCGCAAGGTCCTGAGTTCGATTCCTGGCACCAAAAAAACAAAGGAACAGATTTCAGGAAGGCCTAAGTGAGATTCGAAGGCCACTTTCATTCCTATTTGTTCTGCTGGTGCCGGTTCCTGTCCCCTCCTCTGCTACAAGGACGCGCTGCTCGTACCTCGGAGTCCGGATGCCTTGCTCCCTTCGCTACTTGTACCGAGCTATCGCATCGCATTTTCTTGTGCCTCTGGTTTGCTCAAGCAGTTAACTAGTTGCTCCCAACTCTGTCCTCACATAAAGCTGTTGCAATCTCTACTTTTCCTTTTAGATGCTTGCTCAGGGCGGTATTCCCTTGTAATGAGAACTCCTTACGTGTTTAAGTGGTTACTCCATATTGCAAATGTTCTTGGAGTAGCCTGTGGAGTAAGCACAGTCATCCCAAATGTGGTAGATAAACAAATTGCTTTATTTTCTTCCCGAAATTAAGTGTAAACTCAAGTTCTTTTTGTTCAGAATTTCAGCTACGCAAATCATTCTCCAGTGATTTTTTTTTTTTTTTTTTTTGTCTTCATGGTTACATAGTGGGAGTTTATTCATACTGTTTCAGTTTTTCAATATGTGGCATTAGAATGGAAATGAACTGTTTCCAGGTTTCTCTGCCTCTTTCTTTCTGACCTTGTGTCTCTCAATCCATATGATCCTTTGGTCCTTAGGTTGAAAACTATTTTATTTTAATCTGTATCTGTGTCCTACTTACAGCAGAATTCTTTTTGTAGTCACTAAGCCATAGTGTGTGGTCCATCTGTATGATGAAAGCTATCCTACATTTTGGAACCATTGTCCTTCTTATTTTCAAATGTAGGAGGTTAAAGGCAGAAAGTAAAAGCAGTTATGTGTAAGAAGAATAATTTTTTGACATATTATATTTTTATTTTATTGAAGTTGAGGTGACCCAGGTTGACTGTATTAAACCAGAACTAAAAGTTCTGAAACAATTTGGCTAACATGCTAAAAGTAATTCGAGAACAATCAATGGCTTCCGGATGGTCATTTTAATGACATGCAAAGTGGATGAGTAATGTCCTTCCTATACCATACCATCTTCAGTTAGTGTATTTACAAATACTTACTTTTACCAGCAATATTAAGCAGTTTATTAATTTTAGTTTTACTTATGGTGATGACTAACTTCCAATTTTTATTTCCTGCTGAGGATGCTGGATTGATCTTTTGCTCTGTCTTTAGGTAGATTTTCATTTTATGAGCACAAAATTCTGATTGACAAAATAATAGCTTTGAATACTTATTAAAGCTATAGTAACTTATAACATTCTTGCTATAAGTTAGTGTCCCTTGTCTGAAAGGCCAGTGATCAGAAATATCTCAGATTTTGAATTTGTTTTTCAGATTTTTTCAATTTTTCTATGTACATGAGATATTTGGCAATGAAATCCAAATCTAAACCCAAAATTAACCTCTATCTTATAGTTATAGCCTGAAGGTAATTTTGTACAATATTTTAATAATTCTGTGCATGAAACTAAGGTGGGGAATCGTCACTGGTGGTGTCATGCCAGCGTTTCAACAGTTTTGGATTGTGGAGGATTTCAGACTTTGCATTTTTGCATTAGAGATTCTCAGTCTGTGCTACCGTGTTCGGATGGGGTCATAGACGCTTAGAAAGGTTAAGAACCTTGTTGCAGTTCATATAAACAGGAAAAGCAGAAGAAACTTTCAAAATCAGGCAAGTTTAAGGTCAAAACGTGTTTTAACCTTAGCTGCATTCTGCGGCATGACTTCCACTTTCTGTCTTATTTCCCACGATCTGCAACTTTGGGAGGATTTTAAGACTCTGCTTACCTGTACTAAGCACTCGTATTAAGACATCTCTACATGGCAGTGTTTCTGTGACCACATTGTTCTGGAAATGAGGCCAGTAGCTTGGCCGTTGAATTCTGTCTCTGTGCACTTTGACAAAGGATACTTTTACTACAGGACAGATTTTATTCACAAAATTTATCACCAGGGCTGGGGATTTAGCTCAGCGGCAAAACGCCTGCCTGGCAAGCTCAAGGTCATGAGTTCGGTTCCCGGTACCGGAGAAAAACCAAAAAAAAAAAAAAAAAAATTATCACCAACACACCAATACAGCAGCCATTTTGGGTGGCAAAAAAGGTTGCAAACCTGCATAAATGCTGAAGTAACTTCCTGTGGTGATGAGAGTGTTTATGGCGCCATCAAAGGAGGGAAAAGATGTGAACTGAGGTGGTGGTAGCGGTGATGGGACAAAATCCCAGAAGGTAGATCAAGCTGGTTTTAGTTATAGCATGTGGCAGTAAGAATTCTGACCTTACGGTCTTTGGCCCTGGTGTTAGTCCTATGGATATGTTATGCTTCATGGCAAAAGGCAGGTTACAAATCAGATGACCTTAAAAGAGGGAAATTGGCCTGCTCTGTTGAGTAGGGTCTAATCTGTGTCGAGCAGTGGACATGTTTTTCCTGCTGGGTAGGTGAATGGAGGAGCCAGAGGGTTGGAAGCACGAGGGTTGGAAGTAGCCTTGTGGGCCTGGGGAGGGCCACATGTCAAGGGAACAGGGACTTGAGTCCTACAGCCACAAGCAGCCAGGTTCTGCCCACAACCTGAACAAGCTTGGAAGCGGAATCTCTCCTGCAGCCTCTGGATAAGAGTCCAGCTCAGCTAGCACCTTGATCTTGACTTATGAGGCACTAACAGTGGTTTAGGCGAGTGACACAGTGCCTGGACTTCTGCCTCACAGACCTGGCAAACAACACTGGGTTTGATTTTTAAGTCATGACGTTTGTGGCAATTTGTCATGGCAGAAATGAAAAACTGGTCAAGTTCTTTTTTTCATATGACCCTGTAAGAATGCTCAAGAGAAAAATATCATTTATTCTAGGGAATAGTGGTAAACAGTGGAGTATTCCTTTTAGCAGTTGATTAGGTGTTTGGGGGTGGGTAGAGGCAAATGGGTGTAATTTCATTGCCAGCTCTGTTGCAAAAATCACTCTTCCCGTCACAAGTTCAGTCTGTTTCAGGGCTGTCTGGTCAACCCTGGTTTAAATTTGGGAGAACACAGTCGGTTCCTCAGGAACTCACAATCCAATGTATTAAAAACACCAGAGGATCAGATTCTTTTATTTTTTGGGTCTAACCATTATGTGTCAATAATTGCAGCAAAACATTTCTTTTGTAACATAGTAATGATGAGTTGCTAAAATAAGGTGTAAGAGGAGGTAGCTGGATTTAATCTAGAGGGAAATCTAGGGTCAGTGTGTGCCTTAGTATATAAAATATAAACCATTTCATGGTGTCACAGTTCTAAATTTCCCTTAGTTCTAAGGGAAATCAGTAAGAAATATCTGTGATAAGAAAGTAGGTATTGAGCTCAAAATTTAATTCCATTTGGAATTTGAAAAGTCAAGCCAGAAATGTGGAGATTTCTGTTTTCCCATTTCCTTTTATGTTTCAGATTAATCTTAAAGGCCTTGGTGAAATCTATAAGATACGCATTGGGCATGACAACAGTGGAAGGGACCCCAAATGGTACCTGGAGGAAGTTAGACTTGAAAACATGGCCACATCTGAGCTGTTCTGCTTAACGGTGGAGTCCTGGCTAGCTGAGGATGAAGACGATGGAGATCTATGGAAAGAAATGCCCATTGTGACCACCGGCAAAGCACCACTGCCAGGTATGTACTTTCATTTCCTTTGTGATGTGCATTCACCATTGAAATAACTGAGCTGATTCAGAACAGAAGGTGGTTTCTCTTTTCACACAGAATCATACACTAAGTATCCTGTGGGCCTTAAAGTCTCTATTTAAACTGTTCAACTTTGCCAGGCATGGAGGTTGCAGCTACAGACAGTACATAAGCCCAGGGTGTGGCAAAGTGCCGATCAAACTCTGTTTTGTAGACACTGAAATTAGAATTTCATGTAATTTTCATCTGTCAGTAAATAATACTCTGTGTTTGATTTCTTTAAACTCATAAGAAACATAAAAACCTTTGTAGCTCCTGGACTGCACAAGAACAGGTGCCTGGCTGATCCAGCTCTGAGGTTGTGTGTCATTTGCGCACCTCTGCCTCAGAGCCTGAGGCTTTATTTCTGTTCACGATGAGAAAGTATATGGGAGGATGTACGTGTGTGGCCAGTTTATCTTTCTATAAGCTGCGTAGCTGTTCTGCTAGTAAATGTCAGCAATCAAGGGTCTAGGAGAACCTGAATTCCCTTACTGAATATTTTTTGTTGTTGTTGCCTAGGAGCAAATTCACATATTGTCTTTATTTTTTTTCTCTTCTCATTTCTCTTTCTCTTTGCAGTCTTTGCTTTGTAGCTCACAGGCGCTTTGAGCCCACGCTTCCCAAACTGAAAACAACTTCATTGGTCCTCTATTGACAGTAGGTTTCTCCAAATTTACACGGAGAGTCTGGATTTTCTTCACCTCCCTGGTTAGCCACCAGGGACTCCACCCTGTAGTCCTACCCTTGTTAGAAGGATGGATGGCATAGAGCACATGTATCTGAAAAATACATGCTGCTTAATTTAGATAATGCAAGAATGATTTGGGGTAGGACCAGCTTAATGATAGGAGAAATCTGTAACACTAGTTCTTTGTATTTGCATATACTTTGATAATTTACAAAAACATTTTCTTGCATGAAATCTTACTTAATATACAAGGCTCCAGATGCCACTGCTGCTAGCTGCCCTGCAGTCCCAGGTGCATCCAGTCATGCCCAGAAGATGCTGCAGTAGAGGTGTGAGAGGTTTGTAGGAAATTTAGAGTCCTGGTTTTTACTCTGCACATTCTGGGACCTATCTGTTCTGCTTACCCAGTTGCAAACAGAGTGAAGAAATTCACTCTGTTTCAAAAAAACATTCAGAACAATTTTATAATCCACAATACCAATAAGAAACAGTGGCCCTCTGATTGGCCTGCTGTATTGTTACTTCTGATTTGTAGTGTTTTACAGGTTTCATTATTTTAAAATGAAGGTTATTTAAAGCCTACTAGACGAGTATTTTATACTTCTTCCAGTTGCCTCTTATTTGGCATGCGAACAGTTTGTTACATGCAAAAGAATCGAAGAAGGCAGTTGTATTAGTTTTTTTAAAAAATCTGAAATGCAAAGGAAACTGCATTGTACTTTAAATGAACTATTGATTTTGGGCTCATTTAACTTGAACTGCAGTAAGGCTTAGCATGTCTCCCTGCATCTAGCTGTTCGTGCTTCCCCCAAACCAGCTAATGAAACTTCATCCATTAGCATTTCCCATTTCCTGGTGGAAGGAAACCCACCAGCTTTCCTGGCATATTTTACCAACAAAGCAACACAATAGAATAATGACACATAGCGCTGATTTGATCCAGTCTCCTCATTTTTCTCAGTCTCAGTCTCTGACAAATCAATCCAGCACCCCTTTTCCTGATTGAATATTTGCTCATTGAGGAGAAAACCATTAAAATAAGAAAATGAAAAAAAAAAAAGACAGCTCAATATTCAGGAATTAATTAGACACCAAAACATACCAGTGAGCAGGGAGCAAACAGAGTGCGTTAATGTTAGTGTACTGAGGGCCGCCTTTTGGAAATCACTCTGGTGCCGCCAGGGCCTCGCTCACCATCCTGTGATTCAAGTGAGCCCAGAGCAGGGTCAACCCACTGAGCTGGTGGCTTTTCTGTCTGAGTTTGAGAGGAGTGAGAGGGCTTGGTCTTTCATATTTTATGACTGTCCATGTGTCAAAGCCTTCTGAAACTGGCCCAGGGAAGAACATTAAGAGTGACGATGAAGAGGAATCTTTTAAAAAAATAGTTAAGCTATTGGTACTTATCTGGACATTGCCAGGGTGGGTAGAGTCCTAGGATCCCATCTGAGGGCTGTCTACTTAAAATTTAGCCACACAAAAAGAATGGTTTTCCACTCCTTTGGTACTTTGAGTCAATTAATTTTGTGACTTTGCCTCTTTTATTCAAAAGATTACTGGAATGTTTCCAAAAGAAAAGGGTATCTGACATCACTTGTCCGGAAATCATCCTTCTTTGGAAGTTGAGCTGGACTGCTGGTGAGATCAGAGCGGTCTCTTCCGAGGCCAGGCCTGCCAAGTTGGGCTCAGCCCATACCTTATTCTGATTTATTCACCGTTTGCGGTGTTGGCAGGGGAAGGCGCCACGGAGCCACTGATGGCCTTGCTTTGTTGCCCTTAAGAATCGTTAGTTAATGGCCTGGCAGGGATGCCCGGGCTGGGAAGAATGCCGACTCAGCTCAGAAAGGCCTCTTCACAAATCCTGGCCCCGGACTGCAGGAGAGATGCACGATAATAGCAGGCGGGGTTTGAAGCCACATCTTCGAGGGAAGAAATGTTTCATGCTGTGCTCTGGCGAGTGGGCAAGAGGTAGTTGTTTATTTCAATTTAAGAAATACTTCCCTGAGAATACATGAAAGAACTACCGTACATTATACGTGTCTGCTTCAAAATATTTGCATTCCAACACAAAAAGCAGTTTTGTGAAACACTTACTGACAATCTACAGCAAGTTCTGGTTGATAGCAACTGACCTAAGTTTTAAAAAAAGGAAGAAAGAAATCCAACAGCAAGCCTGCTTTAGTGCTTTTGCCTTCGCCACGATACCCACCCTGGTCTGAGTGGCACATGGGGGCTTCCAAGCCAGGCAGAGCCTTTCAGCCGCAAGGCAGCTGCGGTTCAGATCCCCAGTCTGGCTTCAGGTCCTGGTCTTCACTCTGTGACTTGGGGCAAGTGAGACAGGAAAACGGGGTGTGGGTTATTACTAAAGTGACCACCGTTTAATTTGCCATAGAAAATCAGGACTTTTATGAGAAAGAAGGAGGGCTGTGTGAGTAATTGTGCCCGGACAAGAGGCGCACTGGGGCCAGTTCAGGCGCACCTGAGTCGCGGAGCTTCCTCAGGGCTCCTGTGGGGCAGGAGCACCTGCCCATGAGGTGCGTGTGGGAGGCCTCCGGCGTACCCGGAGCCTTCCCTCATTCTCTGCTTGCCAGCTGTCCTCCTCCCCCTCTTCCCTCCACGTGTGTAACTGCTCTCCGGAGGACTCTGGGGTCAGAAGGAGCGTTTCTGGATTAATCAGGATATTCTCAAAACACTAGCTACAGGGATCAACTGAGATGTCAGATTCTACCATTCCCGGGGTTAGCAACCCTCCAAGGTTTCCCGACTCGCTGAGAGTGAGAGCTGTCGTCCTCGTGCTGTCCACAAGTCCCTGCTCTGTCTCCACCCGGTCTCCACTCCAACCTCAAGGATCCTCGAGGATCGCTGTGGGCCGCCCCACGGCCCTGGGACAACGCACTTCATCCCACCCAGCCGCCCGCAGGCATCCACATGGCCAGGCCCTGCATCTCGGCTGGGTCTCTGACCTAAGGGAAGTTTCCAGGGATGCCCTGTGGGCAACGTTCTAGAGCGTAGTGCGTAATTCTATCCCCATACCCAGCGCGCCCTCTTTTGTCTCTAAAGCTCAGAGGTAACTGCCTTTTCAGCCATGAGATTAATCCTTCAACGAAGAGACACATATGGAGTCCCTCCCAGACTGCTACCAGGTATGAGCTTGGACCACAGCACTTCAGTACAGACCAGAGCTGAACCGTCTACCTAGGTTGGATGCTGAGTCTCATTTGTCATCTGTTTCAGCACTCTGATTTCTTTGGCTGTTTATATCAACAGGATCACACCACAGTGAGTGCTGAGAAAGCTTAATTCTTAGAGACTTGAGAGAGAGCAATAACACAGTCCATTAATTAAATCAAATGGATGAATCTGCCCAAGGGTTTGTCTTCAGGAGGTACCACGGCGCTGCCTATAGAGCTACCTGGGTGCCGGTGCCCATCTGCCCCACCACTCAGGTGCCTGTGGTATCTGACAACCTACTACGTGCAAAGCACCACAGCAGGTGCATGAGTGGAGGGGCTGGCCCCCTTCAGGGAGGTATGCATTTACATGAGGATCTTGTAGGGCAAAGCCGTCAGTATCATCTAGGTGATTTATAAATACCATGACTAAGCCAAGGGACTACTGAACTCTTCCAAATATAGTTATATTTCTTTGTTCATTTTTTCTGGTTGGGAATGTGTTCAGAAGCAAACAAATGAAAACAAGCAAAAAACCAACATCACAACCTTCCCAGAATATTGTACACACCGCTGCAATGAAGATGGGTGCATAAATGAAATGTGGATAGTCGTCTAGTCTCCTCCTTGGACTTTTCCGCTACTGGTTAGGTCACCCAGGCTGATAGGACCAGAAATTTAGCCAAAGCTTGTCTCCTAAAATGGACAAAAGAGTCCTGAGGGGTCATGGCTATGGTCATTTGCCAGCTGGAGAGAACTGGTGGCTGGCTGCCCAGAGAAACTTCTGTACCACCATCTCTAACTTGGGGACTAAGTATTTGGAAAGACCTTAGTGGAGAAACTCCAGTTAGTGACCTACTTAACATGTAAGGTGTTCTGAGTTTCACTGATCTGTGATGGTGAATGTTCCTGGCACAGAGAATTAAGGCATGGAGTGTGTGTGTGTGTGTGTGTGTGTGTGTGTGTGCGCACGTGTGTGTGGTGTGTTGTGTGTATGTGATGGGTCAAAGACCTCAGTCATTGCCTGGCCCACTTCTCAGCTTAAATTGTGGAAGGAGGAAGGAAAGAAAGGAGGGGAGATGGAAGGAGTT